TTAATGAGTCTTCCTCCAATCCTGATACCACATTCTTCTTCACAGAGTCCAGTTTCTTGGATTATTTGCTCAGCATGCAGATTGAATAAGTATGGGAAAAGAAAACAACCCTGACACATACTGTTACTGATTCTAAACCACATGGTATACCTTTGTTTTGTTTGAATAACTTTCTCTTGGTCTATGTACAGGTTCCACATGAGCAAAGTTAAATGTTCTGGAATTTCCATTCTTCGCAATGTTATTCAAAATTTGTTATGATCTACACAGTCAAATTACTTTACATAGTCAAGAGAACATATGTAAATATCTTTCTGGTATTTCCTGCTTTCAGCCAAGGTCCAGTTGACATCAGCAATGATATCTCTCATTCCATATCCTCTTCTGAATCTAGTTTGAATTTCAGGCAGTTTCCTGTTGATGCACTATTGCAATCATTCTTGAATTATCTTCAGCAAAATTTTACTTGTGTGTGATATTAATGATACTGTTTGGTAATTTCTACATGCTGTTAGATCACCTTTCTTTGGAATAGGCACAAATATGGATTTCTTCTATTGTCTGGGCAGGTAGCTGTCTTCTAAATTTCTTGGTATAGATGAGTGAGCACTTCTTGCACTGTATCTGTTTGTCGAAACATCTCAGCTGGTGGTCCATCAATTCCTAAAGCCTTGTTTTTTTTTTTTGCAAATTCCGTCAGGGAAATTTGAACTTCTTCCTTCAGTACCATTGGTTGTTGATCATATACTACCTCCTGAAATGGCTGAACAGTTGATATAGATAAAGATATAAAAAAGGAAGAGAATGATATACTTGGTCAGATTTAAAAATATATATACAGGTACACATACCAATTGAGTAAAAGATAACTTACCACTAAGATAAAAAGAAATAAAAGATAGGAAAATATACTAGGTTAATATTTTCAAAAAAGGAGCTCATTTAATTTGGTAATGAAAATTATGCCCCAGTAGAAAAACAGAAAAGTACATGAGGAATGTAAAACAGAAGACAAAAAGTATTTTTGAACTATTAAATTAGCATTTGAAAAATATTTAAAAAAATAACAAATACTCATAGGAAACAGATTTTCATTTTTTCTGATAGAATTACAAATTGCTTTAATCCTTTCAGAAAGAAAATTAGTGGTATGTGCCAAATGTGAAAATCATTTATATCCTTTAACCCAGTGATTCTATTTTTACAAATATTTGCTTTCAAAAGTCCAAAATATGGAAAAAAGATATACTCAGGATGAGTATCACCAATATATTATTTGTAATATATATATAGTTTTTTTTATAGAAACCAAAACCCAATATAAATCAGTTTTGGTACCTAATAGCACAATATTTTAGCAAAAATTACAAAGTCAATAAAAGAAAGATAATAAAAACTATTCAGTAACATTGTTACTAAAATGTTAGGCATAAAACAAAGGATACCAAATAATTTGCATGCTACAATTAAACTTTTTTTTTTTTTTTTAATGTTATTTAAGTAAGAGAAAGACCAAGAAGACACACTAATATGATAATAGTGGGTATACTGGAGTTGTAGGATTCTGGGTGATTTTTTTTCATCTCCCAGATGTCTATGTTATGTGACTTTTATATACAAAATAATCATTGAAAAATCAAATAATTATTAAAATTATGAATCAATCTAAACAAATACAGTATAACCTTAGCAGGATATACAAGTATAAATATACTTTAGTTACAACAAAATTCTAAATACATTTGATGATCATGACCGAAAATGGACTGTGTATTCATATGAAAATATATAATGAATATATATGTTCTGTTAGCATGGAGGCATCATGTATGACATATATATTTTATTCTACTCCACAAACTCTTAGCATTTCTCTTTTTATATTAACAAATTTTAAAGGATTTATTTGTGGAAAGAAAGATTTGGAGCATAAAACAAAAAGTTCATTGAAAAATATTTCCTTATGTTGTCAACTATAAGAATAAAAATGTTTTATAAAGAAAATACCATCTTAATATCAAAAAACAACAATGAAAGTTCAAAAAATTTGTAAAGCTTTAAAGTCATATGCAAAGAGAAAGAAAAAACAATTAAATATAACAAATCATTTGTCTCAAAACAAATCATAAAATCATATGGATGGAACCTGAACTCAAGGAGGAAATAGATTCCCTGCTTTAATGTAGTCATGTAAACTGATTCCATAGCTCATACCCTTTCAGCTATTTAAAAGGTAATCACTTTTAAAACTCCAACCTTCCAGCTATTACTTCAAAAGGAAACTAGCATGTATACTTTCTCTTAACTGTTTATATTTGTTAAAACTAATCATTAGTGCATTTAGTAAATTTTCACAGTTGACTGTTTTTGCTTTTTATATATCAGAGCCCATTTAAGGTAAGAGAATAGGATTAGAATAATAAATGTATGTTTTTTACATATTACTTCAATTCATTCATAATTTCTTCAATGTATAATGTTGCAGTATACAATCTTAGGACTAAGAGAACTGATGACTGTTTTCACAGCTTTTTAATGAGATGTAAAGTGTATTTATGAACTAAGTATTAAGTAGAATGATTCAACAGCACTCATAAATTTCTACTGGTTTATATTTGTTCTGAAACTGAGTGGTAGCTTTGAATAAATTGAAAAGATACAAGAAAGAGGAAAAGGCTTCATTTTTTAATTGTTCTTCAATGGGATGGAAAATAAGTGTATGGAGCAATGGTTGCGGTTATCTGAAGCAGCCCTAAGATAAAAAGTATAATTGTGGATGGAAAAACAGAGAAAGTTTTAATGTAAATATCTTTAGACACCATTTTGGCATAGCACCTAACTCATCTGACTGCTAACCAGAAGGCTGGATGTTCATACCCACCAGCCACTCCTCAGAAAGTAGATAGGGCAATCTATTTCCATAGAGATAACACCTTGGAAATCCAAGGAGGGGTCACTATGAGTTGAATTGACTCGACTTGATGGCAGTGAGTTTAGCTTTTTTTAAGAGAGTCATGTAAATTTTTTAAAAAATTCCTTCCCTGGGTTAGGGTTGGGGATGGTATAGGGAGTGAAACTAAATGTGCACAAAATGTTGAATGTAAAACAAACTCTGCTCTGTAAATCTGCACCTAAAGCACAATTTGAAAAAAAAAAAAAAAAAAAAAAAGCTTACAGGGGGTATCCAAGCTGTAACAATTGGCCTCACTTGGAGCAACAGAAGAAAAAGCAGAGTCAGGAGTAGAAGGAGGATACCATAAGAACTGCATGGTACCCATCACTGAGAATTTTGATCAAAATTCTATAGAAGATGTAGAAATTACTGAATTTTATGTTTTGCTGTATATATTCTCAACGATAACGACAAAATAAAATGTTAAAAGTGAAAAAAAAATGGATGAACTTGGAGGACATTATGCTGAGTGATATAAGTCAGTCACAGAAGGACAAATATAGTATTAGTTCATTGTTGTGGAGGGTCAAGGAAAGGTTTATGCATGGAGGGAAATTTTCTTTGTTGGTTGCCAGGGGTGGGAGGGGAGGGGAAAGAACACTGCAAAAAAAAAAAAAAATACATTGACCCATGTCACTTTAGTTTTGTGTATTTCACTGTACATAAATTATATTTCAATAAAATGCATTAAAAAAAGAAGAAATGGAAAGCAGAATTAAATTAAAACATAGTTAAGCTATTAAAAAAAAGTGAAAAAAATTCCTTCTAATTGCTAAGGCAATATGCAATTTCAGAAAATATATTTTTTTACTATATATAAGAACTAGAGGTTCTGGGTGGTGTAAATGGTTAAGGGCTCAACTACTAGCTAAAAGACTGGCAGTTCAAACCCATGCAGTGGTGTTTTGGGAGACAGGCCAATCTGCTGCAAAAGGTCACAATTTTGAAAACCATATGGAGCAGTTCTACGCTGCACACACAGGTTTGCCATGGATTGGAACTGGCTCCATGGCAACTAACAACAATGACACATGCATGAACTAGCACATGAATTTGGTATAGCAGACCGGCACATTACAGTCATGCTCATTAATGAGTTTCAGAATATACTTTTACAATTTCCAGGTATTTTGGATTCAAAATTATTAATTACAAAAAAGTCTTTTCTGGTAATTCAAATTCCACTGATCTGGTGCTAAAGTCCCCAGGACTAAAGAATAGCACTTCCAATTTCGACATCAATTTCTAAAGCATATTTGGCAAAATGGGGAATGTGCACATGGTAGAATGTACTTATACATACACATATGATTTTCTGAAGTAAGCTTTATGCAAACTCCAAATTTTAAAAGATTCCTGCCCTGGAAGCATCAACTCTAAATTTTTCTGGCTGATTTATTTGCTAACCTCTCTGTGGGAAATTCTCTTCTGTGTTTGATTTTTCAAGTTCCAGGTCTCAGCTCAAATGGTAATTCTTTATAGTTTTGCATGATCGTAAAGAGATAAATGGGATTCTTAAAATATCTGGTTCCTGATTTTAGCTATTAGCTTCTACTTCACCAGATTTATAAAAATCAAAATGGTGAGTTTAATTTAATGTCATCCTAATGTGAAGCAAATGGTAGAAGAAAAAGGAAAGCAAGGCATTGTAAAAATTCAGAGCCTGCAGAATTGAGACGTGATTACTGTACACATTGCAAGACAGATAGAATATTTTAAAATAATTTCCATACTAGGTTGTCCCTGTACACCTAGCTTCAATTTTAAATGCAAAACATAGACTTTGTTGTTTAAATCAGTATTTCCAAGTAGCTACTTCAACTTTTGAAATGTAATGCTAACAATATAAATATGCATTGCTTATTTAAAATCTTCAGTTTAGTTATAAAATATAATTCCTCCTTGAATGAGCAGCAAATATTCTGTTTTCTCCTGTACATGTATTAAGAAAATTATAAATACAATTGACTTCAGTATTGTAAAAAGTATTGTACAGTGATATCCAGCTGTGCATATTTCTCTCTTTTCTTCCTAAAGGTTAGCTCACCTTGCACTTTGGACACTTCTGGGCATTTCTCTGTCCATGCTCAATTTCACTGGCCCAATGGCGCAATAATTTGTCTCCTTTTTTGTACTCCTTGCAATTAACGCCTTCATGCCAAGGAGAATGGCACTTAAAACACCAGACAAATTGGCAAGTGGGGCACTGGATCTGTGTAAGGAAAAATAAAATTAAGTACCAATAGATACCAACAGATAGATAAGTGTCTAAAAGTACCAGAATGATGGTGTTTGAGGAAGTTAGCTAAAAGCTTATAATCTGCCCACATTTATATATCTCCCTGTCTACAAGACAAAAACTACACTAAGATATAAATATTCTGTTATTGAAGGAAAACAGAATGGTTTTGGCAAGACTATACTGAAACGAAATACTTGAGACATTCTGGAAATCAATTCAGCCTCCCTGATGAAGCAGAGTAAAATCCGAAGCCTCACGATGCCCTAGATCCATATGCTCAGGCTTCCCTTTAACTCACCACTCCCTTGAACCAATTTCCCAGGCATTCCCATCACTCTTCTTACCAATAACTCAATTTTTATAAAATGAAGGCCTCACAGATGCTTCACCGAATGAAAGACACACTAGAAAACAAATTGCTCTACCAGCATTTGCCATGTGGCAGCACCTAAAATGATAGATACCCTTGGTTTGCCATCAATTTAGGAGAGGTTAATTATAAAATAACATAATTGGATCCTATTATTAGAAATAAATCGGTATGGTGACACTGTGGCAGGTACAAGAGGCCTTCATAGTTGTACTATGTAGAGGTGTGTGAGAAAGAAAAAGAATGTGTACATGTTCATTGAAAATATTTGTCTTCCATTTGTTCCCTGGATGAAAGATATTTTCTCTAAAGATTTCCTTTATCTTGAAAGACAGTGGAGTATCACATTCTCACTCAATATTTCCAGTGATCACTCTCTTAAAAACTTATGTGCATAAACTTGACATTCCTAGCCCCTACTTGATTAAAATGAATTAATATAATGTCTCATTTTCAAGAGCATTCATAATTGATTATTCTTTGCTGTGTTCCTGCCTATTATTCCACTGCACCATAAGTGAATTTACTAATTGACTACATTCTGAAGAACAGCTAGAATTTATTTTGGTAAACTATATACAATATTACTACTTAGATTTTTAGAAAACCACTTTTTCATTTTTTAAATAATTTTGATTCCAACTCAGGTATTAACTGAGTAGTAATTACAATCACAGCTATTCTATTTATGACTCAAAACACTGAAGTCTTCACTTCTGTCAAGAATAAATATTGTTCTTCCCATGCAAATATAAAATAACAAAAGTACTTCTGCTTTTATAATGTTATATCAAAACAAAATAGTATTCTGTCATAAGATTAAAAAGTTTTCATGTGTATTTGTTTATTGAAATCCTGTTATATAATATCTGGACTGAATACATTACATGCATTATTTATTTATCCTCAAAATAATGCTACAAAATAGGTATGGACATCATAAGTTTCTAGATGAGGAAACTAAGACTCAGAGAGTTTAAATAACTTGCTCAGGGTCACACAGCATGTACGTACAGCAGCCTGGTTTCAAGGCCAGCATTCTTTTCACTGTGCCAAAAACTTCCTCAAAATAAACAGCATTCCTTCTTTGGAAATCAAAAAGGTAGAATGTAGAAGTCAAAAAAGGTCAAGTAGTTAAGCTAACCAGAAAGTCAAACTTCTGTGTGATTGCCAAACTAAGGTGAACTTTGAAAATCCTCACATAAATTGGTAGACTCCTTGCTTTACCAAAAAATAAAAATAAATAGAGGTTACCAATCATTTAAAATAGTCTTTCTTGTCTTTTCTGATCATTAACATTAAAATAAGTCATTTTTAAAGTAAAGAGAACAAGTTGAAATGTACGTGTTCCAGATAATAAAACAAAATAAAGTCCTTATGGAGCTTTCCATTTGAATGTAATGAATGAAATAAATGTTTGAATGTAATAAATGAAAAGGGGAAGGAAATCTGTCATTTTGTCCCAAGGACCTAAATATTTAGTTCGGTTCTCTTCTATTAGACATTACTCATAATTCTAAACACTTAAATTTTCAAAAAAGATCCTTTTGGTTTTAAATCAGTCAGTCATAAGATTATACTTATGAAAAGAATATGTGTAAAAGTGCTTTGAAATTGGGATTCACATTACGAGTGTCAGATAGTAATAGTCCAAGGATCTTTGTGACCAAGTGCTGAACTGTCACAACTATGGATCTCTAACAAAGCCAATTAGAAATGTGATTCTCTTAAGGTACCAGAGTTACAAAGACTGATATTTGATGTACACACCAGGGACTCTGGCTCCACACTTCTCTAAGTCAATAATGAAAACTTATAGAAGATCCTACTTGACAATCCTCACCAACAACATTGACTTAGTGATGTTGGCTACTGCAGTGCAGTAAATTACTTTGTGTGGCTTTTCTACCCATAAGTCTTTGTAAACTCCAAGGTGGGATTTGCTATGAGCAACTGAGGAGCTCCTGATTGCTGAAGGTGTCCACCTGGAGTATTTCTGCTGGGCGTGGCACAAAACAATGTTCTGGGAGTGCCCACTCTCTCTCAGGTGCTTAGAGTTCTGATGCTATAATTGGCTAGTTTGACCACCCTGCCGGGCTCAAAAGGAGGCCTCCTGGAGGCAGAACTCTCTCAGACTGCTGGTCGAGGAAGACATGCTGCTGAAAGAGACACGGGCTCCTGAGACACGTGTTGCTGGGAAAGAGACGCAAGAGACACGCATTGCTGAGTGAGACACCGAGGGACCAGCCCTGCTGGGAAAGAGACTGTGAGAGACTCTTGGCTGAAGGAAGGTGGGCTGGGAGAGAGACTGAGCGTTCTTCCTGAACTTGAGTTGTTGCCTGGTGCTTCCCTAATAAACTCTGTAATCTGTGAGCTCTGTGTGGCCACTGCAGCGAATTATTGAACCCAGGAGAGGTGGTGGGTGCTTTGGGAGAAACGGTTGGTGAAAGGGCTGGAGGGAGGCAGCATGTCTGGCCTGGCAGGAATAGGCCTTGGGTTACTGCTGGTAATCCTGTCTTCCTCTTGTAGAGTTAGAGGAGGTCGGAACATGTGACCTTCTTGCCGTTTTTGCAGTTACCCAGCAAGGTCTGAAATGAGGGTGAATAATTTAAATTCATACCTTACTGTGAACCATGTCTCACTGAAAGCATCGATACAGCTATTACTTTGTTTTGGACTAGAAGAAGTAAAGGACTAACAGCCACCCTGGACAACCTTGGTATTCAGAGATTGCACCTGGATTGTCTGAAGACTGACTTTTTGATCTGAAGAGGTGGAGTGATCTAGAAGAGTTGAGTGGCCACAGTGGCAGATCACTGGAGCAGGGAACACAGGCATGCACTTCTGGTATTAGAGGGGCTCTCATGCTAACAGAGCCAGTGTTCTGATTCCCTGATTCGCTCTGAGGCCTCCTCGGCCAGCAGCTGATACTGCTTTTGTAATCCTTCCTACTTCCTGTGGAGCCTTACAATAAACCTCACTGAGTAACCTGAGATAAAGCACATCTCTGCTGCTTGTAATTGGAAAGGGCCCAATTACAGGATCTGTCTATTGAAATCTTACCCACATGGAATGCCACTTGCTTCAAGATGTCTTCACTATTCTTCCCAAGCATATTCAGTACCTCTCTTAGGGAATTCACATTAGATATGTAGGTGTCTAATCTCCCCACTGGCATACAACTCCAATGAGGGAAAGGCTTTGTGTCATTCGCCCTGTACTTCCTGACTGGAGTCACACAGAACTTCTGGCATATGGTAGGCACTTAGTAAATTATTTGAAAAACACATTATTTTACACACAGCAGGTACCACACATTGGTTAACATTAAATGAATTCCAAGGGGGTGGGGAACATATCTAATTTATGACTAGTGGCTGAGATGGTATCAATACTTCTTAGATTACCAGATGATGTATACTAAATATTTTATCCACATGACAGTTTAGTGAGTATCACAATCAATGTGCAAACTTTTCTACATGAGGCAGGTCTGCAAGTATTTTAAGAATAAAGTTATCAGAGTTAGGAATCTTGATTAGCTTGCTCAGAGCCCAAGAAAGATAAAAGAACTTTATATTTACATTTTTGACATTTGAATGCCTTTAGTTTTCAGATATCTGTGCTAAATTGACACTAAGATGGCAAGTTAACCAACCCACTTGACCTAAACAAATGATACTAGTCCTGACAGTTCATCATGCCAAATGAGAAAATAACCTACAAAATGGGGGGATGGGGGTGGGGGGAAAGGATTCAAGAACCAAAAAAATTTCAGATAATTATTTTCTTGCCTAAATTCTATCTATTGTTGTACTCCTTTATATATCATTTCAAAAAAAAAAAAAAAAAGACCAAATTACTACCTTTCAAACTCAAGGTTAAATTAGACAACCACCATGCTTATATGTAGCACTGCTATATAAGAGCTCAGTGTTTTAAGAAGGACTTACTTTATTAGGACTTCAGGTTAAGACAGATTCTCAATAATGAAACATATTTATCAATTCATTTGCCCACTCAACAAATCTTTATTGAGCACCTTCTAACTAGCAGGTATTAACTGTGTATTTTATACACACACAAAAAAAGAATGAAAATACTTGTCAATAAGGAATACTCAGGCTACTGGGGCAGGACAGACACAAAACCAAAAGTGAGATAAAACCATGTAATAACTGTAGAAGTTTGGCAAGTGGGTACTGTAGGAGAAACATTTCAGGGAAGGCTGGGAGAGAGGTGTTCAGAGAGAATGTGATCTTGAAAGATGAGAATACCACTGGGAAGGCAAGTGTGATGAGGGTAACACTTCAGGCACAGAGCCCAGCATGCACCACTGCAGAGAAGCCCGAGGGACCTGGGGCACTGGGAAACAGCATGTGGTCTACAGTAACCCACAAAGAGATGTCATTTCAAATGGCTCAAATGGTTATAAATAGGGTCCAATGCACTTTGCATTAATGTTCCTTGCACTCCTGGCATGTTTCCCAAACTACACTGTGGTCAAGAGACTCCTTCTACAAAATATGTAAACGGAATGGTTGTCAGATTGGGGCATGTCCCAAAGAGACCGATGAATATGGTGAACAAAAGGGAAATC